GAATTAGTCGAAACTAACCCAAATATCTACAGAACCTAACTAAGAAAAATCAAGTAGAAAACATATATGGATGTGAAAAAAGTGACCCATATGTGTTCAAAATATACTTAAGAAACAAACAAATTACAAATGCATATGGATTTGGCAAATGCGCGATAATTCCCAAACTGTGTCGCCGTGGCTGAGAGCGTGGACGTCACGGCTCTCTTTACATTCCTATGGGAAAATAGTGAATTTCAATGGTCAAAAAATGGTGAAAAATACATTTTCCAAAGAAACACCACTGAGAAAAGTCGTTAAGAAATGATTGTCTACAAGATAAGTCACTTTTTTACCTCCAACGCTATTGAGTCTTAAACTAGTCAATAATATGAATTGGTACCTAGATGGGGAAATAAGAATAAATTCTAAAAGCAAAATTGGGTCTCAATTTTAATATTTATTACCTTAGAATAGCATACTTACTAATTACAAGAATACTTAAATACATATAATTATACAGGGTGGGCCATTATGCAACGTTTAAAGATTAAGCAATCTGCAATAAAACCATATGTGCACTGTAATAGATTAATTCCAGATATTGTTTTAGCGTTTTAAATAAACTAACAGGTCAAACTGTTCGAGGACAGGATCTACCAACTACACAACCAACTGCAAACTTTTCATTTTCCGTTTGCAGTTCATTCAACCAAAACAGAAACGAACATTGCAATGACAAAATGATTACATACAAATAGACTTTTTATTGATGAACTTTGATTGATTGACTGGATGTTGCTATATTTTTAAATAAGCGAGATATGGGTAAATGACGGGACATCCAAGACACTTCATACTTTACCGTTCAAAAGCAGTTAACAATAAACTGAAATATAAATAAAGTGTTTTATCAACTGTACGTACATAAAGAAACGTGCATGGGTGCATGGCATCAAACATGGCTTATCAGTGAATGCAGTTGGACTATCTTAAAGTATGGCATTTGTTTTTTGTGTAGTTTGGCCAAAATTGAAATTACTTCAGTTGTATGCAATATCAAATAACGTACTTTCTCACATTGGACTTAGCGCGTATACAGTTTTAGGTGATAGAGGCTAGTGAATTATTACGTCAGACATACTAATAAATAATCAAAGCGCACTACTACATCAATATACGATAATCAACCAGTTTGAACACTACGGTTTCCAGTGACTCACTCACATGGCGGAAACATTTTACTATCTAAATAAATTATTATGGTGAGCTTAAATATATTTGTTTATAAATAGAAAAATCATTCATATATAAAATTGTAGAAATCGTATACAAAAATACTAATTTTACTGTTAAAACATTTACAGAAATTTTTATATGCAAATTCTAGTGACACTCAAATAAATAATCGAAATTCGTACATAATGAATTCAACGGGTGAATTGAAATTACGTTTCATTGAGAATTCATGTTATTTCGAATACTTTCATACCAGGTTTTACACTCTGCGGTAAGAGGATTGTTGCTAATATACCATAGCACTTTAGGAGATATATCCACTAATTTTCGAGGGATACATTTTAAGTTATTATGTTCTAAACGAATCCAATCAGCAGATCTTAACGTGCCTAAGCTGGCTTCACTAATCTCTTCCAATTCGTTTTTATGTAAAAACAGCCACCCTAAATTTTCGATTCCATTAAAAGCGCCATCGCTTAAATAGCGCATTTTGTTATTGTTCAAATAAATATGTGTCGATACGTTTAGATTCACTTGAGCGTCATAATGCAATCCATTGATGTTCTGAAGGGCTGCAGTCGGCAAATTTGTTATTATATTGTACTCAAAATTTAACACTGATATTTTAGGGCTTCCCAAAAACCATTCACCTGACCAGTAGCTAAGTTTGTTTTGATCCAACTGCAAGATACTTAAGTTTGGAATATCATTGAAGGCCTTTGGATGAATTGTTTCAATGCTGTTGTTGGACAGGCACAATTCAATCAATGTTAGTTTATTAAAAACTCCTTCTCGAACAGTTTTGAAGTTGTTATGCCGCAGCTTGATCAAATAGAGTTGCGGAAGATCGGAAAAACATCCACTTTCCAGATCAGTGATGTTGCTGGTATCAATAATAACATCTACAAGTTTTGGCAATCCAGATATAGCATTCCTCTTTAAAGCCGTAACATTTTCGTTAATTATTTGAATGTAGGATACTTTAATAAACTCATCTGTGGGCGAGAAGCATCCGGTAACGTTTTTCACATCTCTCGCACCTCCCAACGTCACTTTCGTGTTAAGGAACGTTACTTCACAACCCCACACAGGGATAAACAACGAACAAAACAAACCGATAATCGCTAATGTGAACACAGAGGCCATCGTATTTATACTAAACGAATTGACATTTTCGCAAGATTAAGTTCAAGCATTCATGTTTTCTTATCTGTGAATGAAAGGTCAGTTGCGGTCAGCTTAATGAAGTAATTATTAAAAATACATAATAAACTGCTGTGTTATCAATGATTTGTCAATGATTACTGAAGCGCTAGCAGATTTAGTACTATTTTTATAGTACAGTTTATTCGGATGATTGTGAGAAATTTATATGAAATTATACAAGGTGGTGATTTAAAAATTTGTCTACACAGTGTTTCACAGTTGAAATGGCAAAGACATAGGGACGATTTCCATCAGCAAGATAAAAAAATGAAGAAATAAATAAATCACAAAAATTGGCAATTCTAGAAAACTGATAATTATTGGAGACCTTAATAGCCGAATAGGGAAAAAGAAAGAAATAGCGTAATCGGTAAATATGGCCAATAACAGAGAAAGACTAACTGAGCTGTGCAGAACGATCTAAAAATATTAAATGCCTTCTATCCACACAAGGAGATTCACAAGTACACGTGGATTCAAAATGCAGGAAACCTAAAATCCATATACTTTGTAATAGTGAAACAACAAACAAAGTTGAAGATAGAATATGTAAGAGTACAGAGGGGACCAACATACTAAAATCAAATCAGGTTCCAGGCAATCAAAAAGGAAAGACAAACTCCCGAAGAGAGTAATAGAGAAGAAAATGACGAGCGACGATTCAATCTAAAACTACTCGAAAACAAAAGCGTAAAAATGTTATATCAAAAGAAATTAGACGAAAACTTACCATCAAACCAGCAAAAAAATATGGAAAGCTGGGAGTTAAGGTCACCGACGACGGACTACTCGACACCGAATATGCCAAGGCAAAATCCCGATCGCTCTCTAAGTGAATTACTTTGGGACAGAAGCCTCACCAAAGAAAACAAAAATCTCATTTAAAATGCGATTGTAAAAAGCATAACCATCTTCGGAACCGAGATGGGGCCATTGAAATAAGCGATGATGCATACGTACGCATACCCAGAGCTGATGATCTCTAGATTACACCATTGCGTAATATAATTTTTGAGACATTTGACATATAATAAGCCAAAATAATGTATATATTTTAAATACCGTTAAACCATTTTTGGGCACAAAAATATTTCTATTCAGAGTGGCTTTTAAAGGTGTGTAAAAAATGTATACTACAAATTCCTGAGGGCAAAATAGGACTACCAAAGCCAACACACTCAGTCGAAAACTGAATTATTTTATTTTGTATATGTAAAACTGGTAAGAGTCCATAGCAGCCGCTTGTACATAGTTGGAAATAATGGGGTTTTAACAATTTATTTGGGACATATTAACAACAGAATTAGTTCAAGATAAATGCTATTGACCGAAACTAACTTGTACAAAACTAACAAAACCAGTGCTCAAAGGGCCCTCTATCCATTTGTTGCATTAAAAGAAACGATAGGGAATACGAGAATATATTTAAGAGCAAAAAAGTGTAACCTACAACAGTTACTTTGTTACGGTGCGCTCTACATTAAAAAAAAACATAAAAGCCGATTTTACGTTTTTACCAAAAATCCTTAGCTGTATATTGGAACTATACCAAGGTTTATGTGGAATTTAATTGTGGAAAACTAAAAATAGGTGAACTTTTGACTCTATGTATATTCTAAACCATCCACTTTTATTACCCTTATTATTGTTCTCTTACAGACACTATTTGATGAAAAATGTTCCGATAATAAGCGGCACTTTTTAAACCCAATAATTTATATTGTTATTTGCAAGCGAAATATACATTTCGGATATCAACAAAGTAACTAATATGTATAAGGAACATCAAATAATTTAAAATAAATTTCAAAAATAACCTGTATATTGATTCATTTTTTTTATTTGATACCAGCACATATTTTTTCTAACATATTCTTTCTCGATATTAAACAACTTTCCATATAATTGATATGGAAAAATGCATTATTGTTGTATGTATAACTGATATAAATCTACTTCGGCTATAAATCTAACTTTGAAAAAGGCACAGGTTTCAAGATGTGATGGTCCCAGGGAGTAGATGCCTTTATTTATAAGAGATAAATTCTATAATGCTGATGCAAATTATTACTTCGATATTTATGTAGCACCGAAATTTTAAACAAATATTTTGCTAATAGCTGAATGTTATGATATTCTTGTCTTATAAAACATAAAAATACGTTTTCACATAACATTAAATTATACGCAGAAATAAAGTGTACATCTACGACCTATTATTGTAGATCCACAATATTCGATTATTTTTTACGTCATAACCATCAATAAGTAGTACTTTCTAGCTGCTAACAATATATTAATAGAAACGTTATTTTCACATTGCGAATTATATAAAATGCAATTATTTGCTGAGCGTTAATAATACGAATCGACGTTACATAGTATATCTAGTCTATGTAAGAATTATCAATAAAGACGTCGCCAGACCTTCGAAATATTAGCCAAAACATGCTGAACTTCGATGTGGATGATCACAATTTTATTATGATAAGAATTACATAAAAGGCAAATATAGTAGCAAAGGTAAAAATAATAAGCAAATTCGATTTGGTTGTGAGATAAGAATGTTCCATACATCAGACGTGGCCGCGAGCTCAGTTTTACTTAGCGTATTTTGGATGTAAAACACAATAATTGTAATTCTGGAGTTTATTAAGCTCTTAACTGTACTATACTTTTTCAACGGCATGATCAATCAATGGAAAGCTGTAGCCTATTGAACGTGCAAAACTGCAAAAAGTCTAAGTAACTATATGCAGTATGGGTTAAAAACTTTGGCAGCATTTTATGTAATACAACATTTTCGTGTGTTTTTATTTGGTGTACAATGAAATTAGTCTCATACTTCTAACTCTTTTGGAGATTATCTGCAGGGTCGCAAAGTGGTGGCTTAAAAAGTATTAAAAAAATAAAGTTTTCCTTTTATATCGGATACCAAACAAACTGGCAATACGCTCATTAGTTAAAAAGTTAAAAAATATTAGTAACAGACCTCCTGTAGAAAATAAGCAATGCAGATTAAACGAATAATTCGCTAAGCAAAGCCCAGAAGTATAAGCCTGAAACACAAAATACCCAAGAACCGTTTAAAGAAAGCAAGATAACGAAATGGATTTTGGGAAAATAATTCGCCATTTTCTTATATTACAAATAACATTTAATTTATGTTAATTAGTTAACCGAAATAAAAAATAATTTAACGGACATTAAAACGGTTACCGAATATATCCCAAATATTCGCCATCAAAGTCTTGGGAATGATGGACATCTGGAATATTTACGAATTAGGAAGGATGGGGATGATGTCAGACTTTTTGTAACTTTTGAGCAAATATTATCAACGAAATGAGGGTTTTTTATTTATAAAACTATAAAGGTGAGGATAAAAAGAAAATCTGACTGACCAAAATTGCTTGACTGTATATTTTCAAAAGTAGCTTATACGGTTAAACTATCATAATTTTTCAATGTAAGTTAGCTTGTTAAGGTTTTTTTTTAAGTAAAAAGTTAGCTCATTTTGTATATAAACCAATAACTAAGACACTCTAAAATGACTCACATACCAATTAATATTTCAATCCATGCAGCATACAAATAAGTTTAAATGCTTGTTATAATAATTTTATTAATTAACGATAAACTATTTCTCAAAAATATTCTGAGTATTTACTATTAGGACAGCTCGAAATTATGAATCATTGTTTTCAAAACCTGAGTTGTAATATTCCTAGTCTTTAATTGCTGTAAAACCCAAATTAAGAGCTCATACTATGTATAGGTATAGATTACTCTTACCTTCAATAATGAGTACAATTCGATTGCTGGGTTCGCTTGAGAATGCATTGCGAGAATTCTCAAAAATTGACTAAGCTAGTACCTTTTTTATACAAAATATGCTGCCAGTTGGGCCATTTTGTCTTTTGGTTTGCCCCTTCCTCTACCCGCTGAACCTCGACCGCCCCTGGCTCCAGGTGCTTTTCCACCTCTGCAAACAGTGCAACACTTAAACAATAGTATATGTACAAAAACAATAAATAAACACATAAACAGCTATAGTTTATATGTGGTAAATATTAAGTTAAAATCAGTTTGTGTTTAATAAAGAAGAAAGGCTGTTTAAACTCGGCTGTCGTGATCGCAGTAATCTAGGCCGTGAACGAAGGAGCTAAAATTCATAGTCATATAGTACATATGGGAAACATTTCATCTCGCATATTTTTAAGTATCTGGCACATTTAAAAAAAGCTTCAAGTGAAGGCAAATTTGATCCATTTTATTTAGATAGTCATGTTTTCGCTAAGCAATAATCTTCCCCATTTTCCTATTTGACTGGAGCACATAATATGATACTGACGTGAAGTATTATCTTATAAAGCTATTTTTAGATGCGATCTAAAACTGTTTTTTTATAGAAAACTGTTTGCATTGTTTCGCTTGTGGCTATTTTAGAAACTTAAAAAAATATTTCCAACTTCTCTTGGGCAGTTTTTTTTAACATATTTTATTCGAAAAATTAATTTTTGATGCTTCCGAGATGCAGCTGGCTACCTTTTTAGTTGATTACCTGCTAAAGTGTTATGGGCATATTGTAAATATACACATTGGTTTTCATTAATGCTTTTATGGTTTTATTGTACCGTAATTTTCAGTCGAAAGTACCCACTCACCTAAAAGGTCTTGGAGGCCGGCTAACCACAGCAACCTTGGGCTTATCGACTAATTTGGCAAATTCAGGGGTGCAGAAAACACAACCCTTCATCTCCGTGGCTTGATTTGGAAGTTTCGATTTCTCAGCTCTGTATTCAACATTTATCAACTGCGCTCCACAATCGCAGTTTTCTTCGAGAATGATAATTTTATGAGCATCATCAAAAAGATTGATTATGGTATCACATCTGGAAGAAAAGTTTTGTTAATGTGCAGAATATAAAAAAAAATTATGTCAGTTTGGGCATCGTCCTACTTCAGAATTCATTGTACCTTTTGGTAAAACACTTGGGCTTACTTTAAGAAAATAATGTTAAGTTTATTAAGCAGAGGTTAGCACTTGAAAATTAATTAAAAAGTCGCTTCTAAACAATATTTAAATGTAACTCTTTGGTCATTTGTGAGGCTATTATAGTATAGCAAAATATTATAATTTAGACAATATCTTGATTCTATTTTTATTTAATGAAGAGCAACATACAGTCCTCCAGGCAGATGTTTTAGTTCAACGTTACATTTTTGGTTCACTCTTAAATTGTGCTTTTCAAAACTTCAAATGTATAGTTATGTCTGAAACCGTCAAGTTTGTTTCCTTTCGGAACAGCAACTAAGTAAAATGTTGAAAATGGAAACTTCGAAGAAAATGCAACCAAATTGACGAACGCTGACTGACAAGTAACGATTAATACCGTTTTAAGCTTCACACTAACACAACGATGGGATGCCTTTGAATTTCGCGCAGATTTTTCTAGATTTCGAACCCTTGAAGCATTTATATTATTGCTTTGAAAACCCATTCCTACCCGATCTCTCAACTTTGTTTAGTCTGAAAAATTTCCTTTTACACAAAGAAAGATTGTGATATGTTCCCATACGCTAATACACTACAATGTTAATGATAAAAACGGTATTTGTAGTTATGATCATATGCATTATTGTCAAACTTACGATTTAGTTGCTTGCTAATATTGTGTTTATTGGCTTTAGTGAGAATAACTTTTTTCTGTACTTGCTAAATACTCTGCGACAACACGCCCAGAGCTTGCATATTATGCTTTCCCCTTTATGTACGGTGCATATTATGCTTTCGATACATTTAGTGACATAAATATACTAATATTCTAGGACGGTTAAGAACTTAAGTGCCTAACTCGTGCTTTTCTGTTCAAATTTATTAACAAAGGAGAAAAAATAAAAATACCTATTGCAGCCCAATTTCCATTTGGGACCTGATGAGGGATCAAGAACCAAAACACCATATTCACATTCGGCACAATTGATAACACCGTTCGAATTAAGACTGTAGGTACAAGTAGGGTGAGTACAAGTGTTACATCCGGTTCCTTTTTTCATGTCTCTGCATAATAATAAATAGATTTATTACAAATCAAATTAGTACGAATGTGCTGGCTGCTTTTCTTACTTGAAAGGGGGATTGTTATAACAATAGGGACAAAACACAAAACTTTTGCCTTTATTTCCCGTGGTCCAACACAGCAACTCAAACTCATCCAAAGGACATTTTAACTCTCTAAATAATTTGATAGTGCCATTTTGCGGTACACTATAAGTATCGTCGCATTGTGGACAGTGCAATCGAGCTGGTTTCGCTTGAATAAATTTCAGATATCTTCTACATTTACCACACCTAAAAAAGTTATGGTATCAAGTATTACTCTGTGGATATAATTCGATGAAGAAAATAGTATTAAAAAAGCACAAGGATACCTGGAATGTGCTTTACCAGAAGCACTAAGCGGTGAAAAAGACACCTCAAACAATTGGTCCATTGCATCAATGCTTGAAACAAAATACTGAAACTTAAGTTTGAAAATATCAATGGTATGCTTAAGCACTGCGTTAAAGTTAGCTTTTCCTAAAGCTATAAGGTTCAGCTGTTCTTCCACTGCAGATCGCATTGTGGGCAATACTAACTGAGCGTCAATCTAAAAGTAAAAAGACTTAGGTGTGATGTGAATACTTTTTATTTTCGCAAGTCAGATGCTTAAAAAACACACTAAACAGTACCTTTTGATACCCATGCACCAATACTATACCCAAAGTAGTTGGTTTAAGTTTTCGACCTGGAGTTACAGTAACATAATTTCTTTGAGAAATATTGTTTATGTGTACAGGTATGGAAGCATCGGTACCAATACCATGCTTTTCCATCAGTGTGATCAGTTCTGACTCCGTTAAATAATCAGGCGGACATGTTTGATGTTCAGTTAAACGAGCATTATGGATTGGTACCATTTCGTTCGCCGTAACATTTGGTACTATTTCATTTTTACCGAATGACTGAAAAACAATAAAACATTGATACTTACAACCCAACATCTACTAAATGGGAAAATAAGCTTACTTGCCAAGTCATGACTTCAGTATACCCGGGATCAATGAGGGTCTTGCCATGTATGTAAAATACTTCATTATTGATAACTATTGTTACCACTGTACTCAAATATCTACAGTCTCTGGCTAAAGTTCCGATAAAATGTCGAGCGATGTAATCGTACAATTTCCAAGAGTCGCCATCCAGATCGTTTCTTGTCGCAGACCTCATTGGGGTAATGGGAGGATGGTCACCTTTAAAGTGAATCAAAAATTAAAATATCAAAGACATTCTCTTAGCCATACCTGCGTCATGTCCTGACTTAGGTCTATTTATTCCTTGGCTTAGAATGGCTTTAACTTCCTTGCCCCAATCTGAACTATTCTCCTGTTGTTTCAGAGTGCCCCTTCAAAGAAACATTTCTTTAAAATACTAGTAAATAAAAGGTAATTAAATTTCCTACTGTAAATCAAAATTTTCTGGGTATTTAGTAGTTTCTGTACGAGGATAGCTGATATATCCTTGTGTATATAATCTCTCTGCAATTAGCATAGCATGATGCGGGCCCATCCCAAGTCCCGAACTGGCCACTCGCATCAATTCGACGGTGTTTAAAGCTACTGGGCGAGGTTTCGACTTCTCTTTAGAAACTACACTTACAACTCTAAAAATCAGTTATAAATGCAGTTTTTATCAATCATGGAGAAGTGCAAACTCTGTACCTGCCTTCTCGTTCCTGCTTGACTAAGCTAAGAAACATGTTAGCAGCATCTTTATCAAAACACCGCACTCTATCCCATTCTAATGGCACTTCTACGTTGTCTTTCATTGCAGAAACTTGCACTGCCCAATAAGTTTCTGCTTTAAACGACTGGATTTCATCATGCCTCTGAACGCAAAACCCGAGCGTGGGAGTTTGGCATGGCCCATAGGAGATCAAGGATGCATCCAAGTCTCCATATTTTCCTTGGAAAAATTTTGTTTGGAACCTGGTAAAAGCGCAACCAATTCTCAGATCAAGCTCTTGACGAGCATCGACGCTTCTCGCTTCATTTTCATTTGGATGTGCTACCAACAGTTAAAAATTCTTATTATTCAATCAGTTGCTGAAGAATACACTAAAAACTTTGAAAATACACAAAGAAGCGGCGTTTCCAAGAACAGATGAAAATAAGTAATCATAATTAACACTTATCGGTCGTGAATCGCCTCTCAACTGACAATGGTGCTTTCTGTAGGCCAAGCTATAGGTATTTAAAACTGCTTTATCGTGAGATAAAGACTATAGGATCTTTGCACATTTTTTGTTTGTGTATTTTGATGATTTGTGGTCAATAACTGTTCTGCAATTTTTTTTAGCGCGCCAAATCGACGCATTTGAAAAACATTTATAAACGTGTCTTTGGACGAAAAACGTCTAAAACTGTGGCTTCAAATGGCGCGACAAAATGTGAAAATTTTCAAAAAGATATTGACAAAAACTTGTACTTTTGCTCAGTCTACGATTCAACAGTTGATGCAAAAATATCATTCGTTTGAAGAAAATCCAGAAAGAACAAAATAAAAAATCTTTGCAATTTAAACTTTTTTAGCTTCTCTGTACAGAGTCACTGGTTAAAATTTATCCACTGCATTCAATCTGAGAACAAACAGTTGTATACTAAATTTGATGCTAATCAATGTATAGCAGTTTTAAACGTGCTCACCCAAAAATACGAAACACACCATACGTATATATTTTTTAATATATTACCCTGTATTTATTTACTAATCTTTTATTTCTGTAAAAAACCGCAAAAAACCGAGAGTGTTTTTTCATTTTTTATTTTGTGATGGCGCAGTCATGAGTCACTCTGCTATCACTATTTGTTTCTTTTTTCTGTTACCATGATTGCAATGGAATAATTCTTCGAACGAACTCTATACTCTGGACATATTTTACATTTTACTATGCAAATATCACCTTCTCGTTTCAGCTGCTAATATCAGATCTAGATTAGAAAAATAAGCTAAATCTTTCCAAAATTCCAATGGCATTTTCCAACAAATTGTAAARAGCAATTACTTTATTTTTTTTTTATTTCTTTATGGTTTTTACTCYACGTTGCTMAACGGATATCGGATATAAAAAGTTCGCTTGTATTAAAWATCTCAGCCCTYRTCAACGAATCTAGTGGTAAGTTTTCTGATTGTGCTTTTAAAAATTCTTAATCAGCTATTTTCCACAAGAATCCACAAAACAATAAAAATAAACTAATAAAACAACTCTATAAAACACAAGACGAGGTAACTGTACAAAAGTTCGTACGATTTAAATTAAAACACGGCGTGCAGGCCGAACGTGTACTGTGACGTCAGACCAATCGCATAGCCATTAACTAGCAAAATAATTTCATTTTCTTGTAGTGTATTTATATGCAACACAGCTTGTATTTTAGTATGTTTTTAATCAAAAATCAATTTCATGCAGACCCCATTGTGCGATAATATAAAAGATAATGAGCAGATGAATAGGTATGTGTTTTTCACTCGATTTTCCGGTCCTTATGTTAGTTATTAACAATTTATTGCAAAAAACGCGATTTTTGTTTTTTTTTATTACTTTGAAACCGATCTGATGCTCAACCGGATGATGAGCAAGCGGAATGCCCTAACAACGAGATGATTTGTTGAGAATAAAGATATCTACAAAATGAGAGGTCGAACGGCTCAATCGGATAATCAGGTTCTGAGAAATTTACGAAAAAACCGTAAAAGTGGGCGTTTTTTCAAAAAAAACAAATAAAAATTTATAGCTCTGTAATTTTGGGAAAAAGATGCACTGCAAACTTTGAATCGCGATTCTGAGAAAACTAATTACCCGACACCACCCGCCTTTAGCACATCTAAAGAACATAATCTCTACTTTCGCTCAACATTTTAAGGTTCCAGCTCAAAACTGACGGACTGTTCAAAAATTCATTTTTTGAAAAAACGCCCAATTTTCCGGCTTTTCCTAAATTTTGTCAAGTTAGTGCGTTCGACCTCTCATTTTGTAGATATTTCTATTATCTGTAAATCATCTCGTTGGGGCATTTCGATTGCTCTATTCATTTCAAAGTTATAAACAAAAAACGACAAAAATCGCGTTTCTTGCAATAAAATGTTAATAACTGTTAACTTGAAACTGCTACCCCAAGTTTAATCTTCCTTCGGAGATGATGCGAAAACATCAGATATACAAATTAAGAATCGACAAAGTGGCAAAACAAAATTAGTGTTTCATAAGATAATTTATTCATTTGGGCCACTGTGTTCAATAAATAGAGTGTCAAAATTTAAATAACATGTTCGTTTATTTCCATTAAATTATTTTTCAACACTAGTTTCATTACAAATTACCACGATTTTTGTGATTGGGTGTTATTTACGTTCAATCCGTTTAGAGCAATAGATTATTTCACACTCTCATGTTTTTGGGGTCAATAAAATATCGTTCTGAAAGTCGAATAGACCGCGTATCTGAGAAGACAACAAACGACTCTGGTTAGGCATGATGATGTTTAAGCCATTAATTATGATTTTAATTATTACATTAATCATGTAGCTACCTGGACTGAAACGTAGAAATGCCACTTTATGTTTTTTTCGTTTGAATATAAGGAACCAACATTACTTTTCGATCCTCCTGCCTTTCTAATATAATATACACTTATACATAAAGTAATACTTACAAAGATTATTAAAAGCAGCCTTAATATCCTTGTCGGTAATTGCAGAGAACTTGGCTCTATAAGTGACACTATCAGAATAAACATTTCTATTCATGCTATTGGCTACTGATGACATTACTTCGTAACATATATTTTCACCTAAAAACATTGTCGTGCTCAATAATAAACTCTTGCAGAAGAACATTCCATAAATGTATACACATCTAATGAAGTCAATCGGTTGAGAAATATCAACTATAGAACAAGATTAACGCATTACAAATATAAAATAATAGACACATTTAGGAAATCAGGCCGATTCTGCAGATTATATTAAATTCAATTTAGTATAGTCAATATTTACAGGGTGTTTCTTCATCAGTGGACACCCCCTCTATTGGGGCTATTAATCGTTCATTTGAAAAAAATGTGAAAGTGACCAACACAAAAGTTGCTTAATTTTACTCAATTTAAAATAAAAATAGAAAACACGGAAATGTCAAAAATTGACAGTCTTTTTTTATGAAACACCTTATATATTCTTAGACATACCATAGAATTTTTTCCAGGTTTCAAGAATATATATTTAGCCTATATTTATATAAGCCGTTTTTCCTATATTACGTTTTAAAAATTATAAATCATACAAATCAAAGTAGCCTTGAAATGCGACAATGCGACCCCATAAATTTCGCCCGGTGGCCGGTGGCTTTATTTTAATTGAAGATGTTGATAGCTGGATTGGACAAGCGTGTCCTATCAAATGGCCTCCAAATAGCCCAGACCTAACGCCTCTTAATTTTTTCTCTGGGGTTATTTAAAGAATATTTGACGATGGGAAACTCTAGTTATAAACCTTAATGAAAAATAGTAACGCAATTAACGATACCGGTTACAGTACCACCATATTGTGATCGATTGTAGAACTTCATCGATTATATCTAATTGTTGAAAAACAAATAATCGACTTACTTAGCATTTTTGTGCAAATATTTTCTGATTTGTTGATCAAACTATTTACTTATTTTGCTGTACCTTCTTTATCGCAATCGAGCCACAGAACAAGATAATCAAAACCGATGGCTTCTGAGGCAAGAAAAGCAGGCATTTTTAGCTTCGGCATTGCTTCCTTTTTTTCAATAGAGCACGAAAACAATTCTACAGGGTCTACTCGATCCCAGTTATTATATTTACTGGAAAAATCCACACCAAGAACATGACCACATACTGAAGTCATTTTGAGCCTAGCTGGAGAACCTAGGAATGTCCCATTCCATTCGTGGACCGAGCAAGCACCATTAAATCCTAAAGTGTGAAAAAATCTCCTGTTTAAATATAGTAGGATATGTTTAAATTCAAACCTTTCTTTGAAGAATTTTTTCCATTACTTAATATGGTTGATAAAGAAGCAGCTAACGAGGGCTTCTCAGCCACCATAAATACGGATTTCATCTTTATAGCGTTTTAGGAAAAATTACAAAAAAATATATTATAAAAACATATTAGCTAATTGTTAAAAAATGTTACGACTGGTAATTATAACCTTCAAAAATATCTAGGTTAGTGTAAACCAATTTCTTCCAACTTGGTCTAAAAATTAAGTTTGAATGAATGTGAGTAGGATGCAAACATAGGGGCAATGTAGTGACATTATATTTTTGAATTAATATTATTTATCACTACCAGGAGTGACTACTAAAATCATGTTACAATCCCAAAACGCAAATTATACACAATAATCAGTGTCTGTTTAAGTAACAAAATACGAATGCCAATTATTTTATTGTAATTCACAGTTTCCATATTACACCGCTAAACCCCAACAAATGTCACCTCTACACCGATCCTTTAGTATTTTCTACGAAGATTTTTCAATGATTTCGTAATTTAATTTCAATGAATGTTCCATTATATATTTCCAAGAACAATGAAAATTTTGTTTTCATTCAATTTTTTTGGTTGCTTCTTTGTAATACAGAAAAACTTTAGTAAGGTCATACCAAACAAAGTAGCATACAAAATAAATGCCTAAACAAATTTATATAAATGGACTTTCTATATTGTATATATGAAAGTTACTAAGTATGTGTTCAATGGGGTCATCAGGTACAATTCATTCTATAGGTATTGGCGGCACTGGCTACTAAAGGTAGGGATGTGAATCCCCTCTATCGGCAATGGTGTTAACCTAACTTATCGCAGCATGTGCTCAAGCCTCATAAGCAGCAACGGTTTACATCTAACTTTCAGATATCTATGGGAAACCCAATTGAATCTAGCGTAAAATTGCTGCTTTGGTTTATTGAAGTATACGCGAACAAATTACGACAATGTTTGTGTTGATAATATTTTTGCTAGCATCATTACAAGTTTCTAAATCGATTTCTCTAGAAGATGTGTTAGTTCTTTTTGGGGACAGCGATTGCATTGCAGGTAAAAGATACCGTCTGATTTAATAAGGATATGTGAAAATTTATGGTGTTTTTTGCATTTTCCTGATAACTTTATGATACATTACTTTACTACAGTGGGTTTCAAGAAACTGGAATTTAGGAGCAATACTACGGGTTTTGGAACTGCATAAACTAGTCAAAGATTTGTGTGTATTACAAAATGCCATTATAGAGTTTTTGGCATTTAAATTCTCGACGCGAATCTGTAAAATCGCCCGAATGTACTTTCAACTTAAGAATAGATTCTATTTTCGTACGCCTTGTCAGGCCTTTTCTTCTGAATATGCACGATATGTGGGTACAAAGCTGGTCAGAAACTTCGAGGGGTAGCCAAATGCCAAGAAGAAAATGTAATTTTTTTTTAAATTTAGCTTTAGAAAAACTGTTCTGAACGCTAAACTAAGAAAAAACATCAGCCAATTTTATCGAATCTAATCATGCATACTAAGCAAATACCTAAACAGATGATTGGATAAAACGGCTTTGGTGATTTGAAGACCAATTGGTAGCTATTAATAGTGTTTCATATTCTGGAAAGTTCCTGCTAAACATGAAATATGACGGAAACATTTTAAATGTGCAGTTATATTGCACAAATGTAACATATCATAAAAACGATCAAAAATGTTTCAAAAACGTCTTTAGCGCACATGAGATTCATGGTTCTACCGCCTCCCATCGCGCATGGCATTTATTATCTTATAAAACATAACCACTATCGTCTCTCCGCACAACGGAGGTTGTATTATTTCATTTTTCATTATTAGATTACTTGACTGGTTCAGCAAAATAAGTGATAATATATTGGTTAGTACCTATATTTCTTATTTGTAGAAACTTTAGTATAGGTAAGTATATTTAACTAAATTAGCTCTAACCTAGACCATGTGGACGATGTTATGCTGTTCTCATTTCGAGTTGTTCAGTTCATTTATGTACTCAAAGGCTTATGAATATTATTTGAGGGCAATAAAATGAGCCGAACAAAGAAAAGAAGGATTTCTAACAGGTACCTTTGGGGTTTGGTGAACAAGAACGTAATCAAACTATATAATGCTAACATTTTTGTATATATTGAATATTTTGAATACTCCATACATCATCTTAAACTGTACACTGTATAGCGCTGTGTTATTATTTTTTCACTTTTAGGTTCAGGCTGTCGAAAACGATGATTGATTATAAACTGAGAATTTACCCAATTCAAAGAAGACTGGAGTCTTTTGCTTAGAGATAACTGAACAACTGTTTGTATTGGTTCTTGTTTATCTATTCAATAAAAATTTTATTGTATTCGTCAACTTTTCGAGCCTGTGAATTTTAAATTTAAAAGATTTTGAAACAAGTTAGCTAAACATGTTTTGTTAATATTTTTATAAAAACGTTATAGAATCATGAAACTACATAGTAATTCTTTGATGAGTACAAATATTTTAACTGGTGGTATATTTTTGTCCTTGAAGCAGGGCAATCCTATAGTTCTGCTTCTAGGGCCATTATGTACCACCAATTAAAATATTTGCACTCTTCAAGGATACACCATGTATAATGTTACAAAAAAAAAATTTGTAACATTATACATGGTGTATCCTTGAGTTTTTGAGTGGTGTCCTGAGTTTTTGATAAAGTTCAAAGTCTTCTCACTTTTATACTATTTACCGATATTTTTTTATAATTTGAAGCTTTAATTATTTTGCTACTATCTCTATATCTATAATATCTATAAAGGAAACCTTGTTTTCGTATTTTCTACGACAAATGTAATGGAGAAAACATCGGTTCACTTTTTTATAATTTTTAGAATTTGTGCGCTACTGTTTTAGTTTAAATTAAAATGTAGTCAATCTGTTTTTACCATCAACTTAACAATTAGCAAATTTACAGTAAAGCATTTTTAACGTTTTGTTTTTTATAAAGCGAAAAAAAATTAAAAAACACGACAGCAACAACGCCAAAGGAAAGTACAACATTGATATCTCGTATTTCCGCTTTGAGCGGCTCTTAATAAAGCTTCTGGTCCGCGTGGCGTACTCGAAATTCATTTGATTGTTGTTCAGTGCCGTATATATTAGCCAATTCTTCATTGGCAACAGCCATTTCTTGTAGTGTCGCTGGAAGCTTATTGCGAATCCGTGCACTTTGTTCTAATTAATCTCACAGTCAATACAATTCCATTCCAATCTGCGCTTCTAACTTTAGAATTATCTCACTTATATTAACTTATGTCTTATCTTATTATCTTAACTTATTATTAGGTGTTATTTAGAATTATCATTCTGAAATAATGATTCCAACAGCTTTTAAGAAATTGTGCACAATCTTTGCTGTATGTGGTTGGGCATTACGCATTAGAACAAAATTCTAATCTATTTCATCAATATAAATTTATGCATTCACTGATTGCCTCATGAGAAAAATATGAAGGATGCACGTCTATTCATCGGTATTCCAGCCCCCACCCTAGCAGAGCCACAATTAGAACATACACATTCCACTATAATTTTTTGGTTAAATCTTTCTCTCGTTCGTCGTCATACTCGCTTTCTACCATTTACCATATTTAAACAACATCGCAATTCATCTGTGAATACGACGTCGTGATTCGTCTGCGAATACGATATCAGGCCAATATTGAAGATTCCATTGGCCATAATTTCGAACAAAGTTCATTCGCGCAGCGCGGTGTTTTCTCCAGAATTTGGGACTTCTAGTAGGTCTTTGTTTTCAAATATATTTCTCGCAGCCGCCTACAAATTATCTGCTTACGTATTTGCTCTCGTACCTCCAACCAGTCCGCTATTTTGTTGTGCGTTGTGCTAGCGGTTTAAGCGTGTGTATCTTAGACAGTAGGAAATGATTATCGTGAGTCGGCAAAATTCCGTCTCACTCGGATGACTAAAAACGCACTCACCTGCATCCATTATTGGTAACCGCGGTCTTGTTCTCGCTCCTTTTGTCAAAAGATCGCAGCTACAATCGCAAATCCAAACAGACATTTGTTGACAAACATTCAAATTCCATGTGTCGTTAATGTCCAGGTTACATTTGTGGGTACTCTTTAAATTGTGCTCTTCAAAACTCCAAATGTATAACGATGTCGAAAATGCATCCATTGAACCTTCTTTCGGGAGACGCAAAATTGGTCGAATTTTCAATTATTGGAATAGTTCGGTATGTTGTGCAAAATAAGCAAATTGATTCTTGTATTTCCGATTATTGATGTGACTTTGTTTTAAAATTGTTGGTAGGTAGCTTGGTCTCATTAAGCGATGTGTCAATTGGGAGCCAACAAGATATAACACTTTCAGAGAATGGTAAGGAAACACATTTCTAATTTAAAATTATATTCTTGCAATCGCAATAAAACTTCAGAACCTACTAATTTAAAAATATCATGTTCAATTTATTTTAGATGTTGGTTCTATAATGAGCTATGCAGAAGGGGACAAATCCGCAATGAGTTTCATTAATGAGTTGGCCCAATTCAACGATATCTCTTATTCGTATGAGCTTGTTAGGGAAGATGTAATCAAGGAAAATATAAAACCGTAAAATACTTACATGCAATTGCTTTTTTAGGGACCAGCACATAGCAAAACATTTACAGTGACTTTATATCTCGGTGATGAACAATATACCAGTGAAATGCAAAGTATTAAAAAAGCGCAGCAAGCTGCAGCAAAAACTGCGATAAAAAGCACTAAATACGAACACCCCCCAGTTAAAATGAAGGAAAGCGATAAGGCTTTAACACCTACTGTACTATTAAATAATCTAGCTGCAAAACTGGGCTTGGTGGTTAGCTATAAGCGAGTGTTCGATGATATTGTGGTAAATATTATCGAGACGATGGTGGATCGGTTTGCGGACTTTGGGGACGAAGTAGAATGGACTTTCTTTAAGAGCCACAGAAGCGGCGGAACGCACAATATCAGGTTTCCAAACAGCAGGTAGAACTCTCTCTTCACTAGCAAAAAATGAAAAAGATGGTGTTTAAGACAACATGGTTTCAACCATTTGCGAAAGCTCAAATAGCAAAAACGGAAAATAATATAAGCACAATTTGTCTCTCGTACAACGCAAGACAGAGCCACGTCACCCTAAGGCAAGGGCGGATCCAGGAGGGGGGGTCATGACCCCCCCTGGTGCTGGGTTTAAAACGACTAACGATGATGTTTATAATTTCATAGACAACAAAAGACTGAATTTCTACTACTTGACCCCCCCTGACTCGAAAGCTGGATCCGCCCCTGCCCTAAGGTACGGTTTCGGTCGTGCGATCCAGAGAAGTAATAATCCCTAAGTTATCTCTTGTCTCTGGTGCGATCGGCGACTGCGACTCATAGAGAAAGTAAAATAAGTTATTTTACTTACTCTATGCTGCGACTCGATGTTGCGTCTGACCGCAGTCGGAATCGCAGCGTGGTTTGGATGATGCGTTTGTAACCGGTAACAGATCAGTTCAAGAAATCAATTCGTGAGGTACATTGAGAAAAAACTATTGAAAAGATGGACGACGTCGAACTTTTCGCCCTTATTTTGTTAGAAGGGGAGGAAAAGAAGAACAATTCAACAACTACACAAAAGAAGAACAATTCAACAAAATACGACTTACGCCTGTAAAATGATATAAGCTCAGTTTAATGGTTGTCGTCCATTTGTTAGTAAAAGCTGGCCGAAAGTTTATATTTTCTACTTATAACCGCCGAAAGAAAATGTTTGATCTGGCGAAGAAGATATTCAGCCCTGTGCTGTATCATAAATGCTATTTTTAACGGCCACACGTTATGGCAACTTAACAGTTCAGGATAACATTTTCGATAACGCAG